TTTGTGAAAAATACATCATTGTCTACAGTGTTTGTACACTTACAACAGAGCATCTACAACAGCACGTTCTTCATTTACATGTACTTGACTAAAGATTGAATATTTAATGATAAAAACGACATCTTTTAGCGGCTTCAGCATTTCCCTCATCAAGTCATGACGAATAAAAATTTTTTACTTAGTATTTAGTTTTCTGTGGCATTGTGATATTTCATAAAAAAAAGTAAGAGATGTCAGGTTAATTGTAAAAGTCATATGTTTGTTCAATAAATATTCCATGCATTAAGATGTAATTAATATGTTTTAATTTTTGTCATGCTTAGTATTAATGTCTTGCACTCAGACATTTTTGAAAATGCACGAAGAGAAATATGCATAATAACTTATTTCTACAGCATTCGACAGTCCAGACAACACTTTAGCATGCAAGTAATCAAGGAAAGCAGTTCTTCATAAAAACTGCTTTGTTGTTTAAAGTAGGGGATCTATAAGGTAGGTCAAAATAAATTATAGAAGCTCATTTTAAATTCGTCAGACGTTTTTAACAACGCTGTTGGTTAAATATTTTCAAAGAATATTTAACACTAAAATTCTACCAATAGGATTCACTCCAAAGTATTTTAAACTGGAAATATATTTTCACTAATGTTTCTGACTTACCTTAGATCAGCCACTCTACTTTGTACATCAACATCAGAATCTCCACAACAATAAGTGTTTCATTTACATGTACTTAAATGTTCAATGCACGTTTAAAGAGAAAATTTTATTGATTATGTTAATTCCTCTTTGTTTGAAAATGTCTGGGTACAAGACGTTTATATTAAACATGGCAAAAATTTAAACACACTATCTCATAATTTACATGATAAATTATTTTTATAGAATTTATCCAACAATTCAAAGATCATTTCAAAGCATTCTAAATTTATATTTCAGTCTTCCTGTCGATGAAGTTGTACATTACAAAAAACACGGTTAATTCAAATACTTCCCTAAAATAATATTCTTTGAACGACACAAAAACACAAGCAATACTGAGCGTACTATTTTACAAGGCTGTCACAAAGTCAATTTATGACAGATACAAAATTACAGATACTTTATTCTAGGTGATTAAAGTGCACAAGTTAAATTATTTCCAGTCTCACTGACAAATTCACATCCTTTTGGTAAATTTTCTAGTTTATCTTTAACAGAGCTCAGCTTATTAGCGTTTTAACATTTACAACAAAAATTAATCATGTAGTCTCAAGTTTGTCTAAATGTACATTGACTATCGAAAATAGAAATTGAGTGTCATTTTTAATATTCATTAAAAATATATCAGAAACCTTTTCGTTTCATCTTGTTTTTCAACATTGAGATTCTGTAACGCTCATTGCAACGATTCTATAACTAATCGTTGGCAATCGTAAGTCTTCAACTCTTTGGTAAGTATAAAAATATCCTTATCAGACGTAACTTGACCAGTTATGGTTTGAAAAAGTCAATTTTAACTCAGCATTAACCATGCACACTCACTCATATTATGGTGTGTTTGACACAAGATATATCTGAAGAGTAATTTTCCCCGTCTTTCCTATCTGTCACTCACTTTTCCCTTAGATGACAAAATCCTTTCGTTTCACATGCAAATAAGTCATAATTCTAGGTAATGTCACTTTTCATATTTGTACTGACATCGCCGTTAAAACTGGTTTGGCAAAGTTTTCACAAAGTTCACAAAGCACTTCTTTGAATTTCTTGTTTTTCTTATACATCCATGGACACAGTCAAACACCACAAATTTCACACAAAAACACAATAAGACCAATATGATAAGGTTGCTATATTGGTATTAATACATATTTCATTTTGTATAGACATTTCTATTACATGTTACAATACGCAAAGCTATACCTGTAAAGCTGCTTTGCCGAATATTTCATGAAAACGAAGCTTCCCAATAGAAAGCCTTTTTGAATGAAGAGGTCTATAACATTGGAAATAAAACATTGATTCATTGTTTCGGTTTCAGTTTCTCCAGTCCTTACATGTATACTTGTTCAATTCTAATCCATTTACTTTTGGACTAAGGTCACTTAAACTATGGAGGAACGATTTCATTACATCTTCATCAATTTCCAATGTTACATTACAAAATTAAATAAATATTCTGTCATCTTTTTCAAATTATATGCAAATAATTATGAAACTATGAGTACATCACTTTATGTTAAGGAAACTACAACTAAATTCTCGGCAAGAAAGGCTATTTTTAAAATGGTTTTAATTAAAATAATTTTTTCTTTATCATGCAGTCTACATTACACAACAAAATATTCAGATTTTTTTGAGCAAGTCAAATGATGCACAATATTATTGGGTGATAGTAATGTTACTTCCGTTTCACAATCTCCTCAATTTTCTCATTTTTTATAATCATAGCTACTCTTTAATACGAACTTTTACAGTAGTTATGAGGAGATTTTGAAGTCTTAGAGTGAGTAAAGAAAATAATAAAAAAATTGTAAAAGAGTTCGGCGAGAAAATAAAAAAGAAACAAAATAAAATTTTGATGAAAGATAATTATGATAGAAATAATGAAGACAACATTTAATTACATCTACAAAATCTACTTTAACACTACATCGTGGCTACATTTCTGAATTGATAATTATGAAGATCATGTGAAGTTCACGTGAAACATTAAACATAATAATAAACTTCAACTTCATCAGGTGTAAATGTATATGAACCTGCAAGAAGGGCTTGGGTGTTACTACTGCCATAGCTGTAACCAGATGGAGGACGATAGGTGTGTCCAAAATGGGTGTAGGAATTTTTGTTTTTGTTTGCGTTGCTTGCAATGTGGAGGTCATGCCCTCCTCCAAACGTTGGTCCATAGCCAGGGTTAGTATAGATGGCCTTGTTGCTGTAACGATAAACTGGTGATCTAAATGGACTTAAATTGTCTTTGTTACGAAGTGAGAAAATGTAATTACTGGAACTTGTTCGATAACTTCCACTTGAACCTATAAATATAAACAAGCATAGAAAATTAAGCTCATTCGATATTTTCTCTCAAAGCTCATCAGCAAAATTTCACGAAATTGCAGCACCAGAACTGAATTCGTTATTGCTCTCACTTCAACTTCACATTTTGCATTAACCATTACAAAATTTGAGGGAAAGTCAAAATTAGTGCTGGGCACCGAAGCAGGATGGCGAGAGAAGAAGCTGAAGTTTTGACGGATTGTTCCAGATCCAAATACCAATTTTAACTACCATCATAATTTACAGTTGCGGTAATAGAATCGTCTCGAAAATATTTTATCCCCACATTAGCTCACGTTTAACAACTGATCTACGGAGTTCATCAAAAAAACTTTTTAAACCGATAAGACTCACATCACAAGAACGTCGCGCTACGTTGATGGAGGTAACGCTGATCAATGCGAGGCAATTTTTTCACCAGGTTACTCAGGAGTAAGAAAGGAATATTATTTCATATTTATTAAGAAAAAACCCGTAGTTGTGGACTGCCTATGGTTCTTTCAGAAGCGGAGTGACTCACAATGCTTTGACGTGATTGGTTACTTTAAAAAACACATTGTTCGATTGGTCAATTCGAAATAGGAAGTTAAGAGTTTCAAAGAGTTTCTTTGAGGAGCGTAGATGAATTGATAAACGTGAGCTAATTTGTTGATCAAAATTTTTCGAAAGGCTTCTATTGCCGCGACTCACGGTGACTGTATGATGTCACATTTTAAGTACTAAAAACGTAATCTCGTATCATGTACATTTGTGTAACGAAAAATTGAAACTAAAGAAAAAATTTTGTTTTCACTTTGACAAAAAATTTTCAATGTTTTGAAATTTCATGCATAAATTTTCGGTGCACAGCACTAATAAACCACTAGCCACATTGCATAAACACAACGAATGATTTTAAAACTTACCTCCCCATTGATAGGTTGAATATCCACCAAAAATGTATTTCCCAACTTTAACTAAAGTTATTGTTTTTCCTCGATTGTCACATCTTGAGTGGAAAATTTTAGAATCCCATCCATCAATGGAGGCTCTCCAACAACAAGTCAACTTATCAAAGGAAAACCACGTCTTTAACTGTTTTAAAAATCTTTCTGGTTCCCGTCTGAGTATCTTTGAGGCTGAGATATCATCTAAATGTTGATTATTCAGTTTATGTCTGTTTGTGACATAAGTGATTTAGACGGGGGTGTATTGGAGGTGGGGCTCGGGGGCGCTCGGTCCACAATAGAAATCATTCAATATTATGTTCAAATAACGATTATTATAGCAAAAATTTCATGTTGTCAGATTTGAGGGGGGGGTGTTACCCCATTCCGGAAGAATGACAAGAAGCTCGGCTCAAATATACGCTACTGTTTAGATCATTGTCATTCGGTGGCGTAAGAAGCAAGAGAAAGTTGGGGGACATAAGCCTTTTGGGGGCAGTTTTTCATTTAAAAAGGATACTTTTTTTCCTAAAAAAATGCCTTTTTCTCACAAATCAAAAGGGCACTTTTTTTATTAAATTTGAAATGGTAGGGGGGGGGACATATCTCGAGGCACTCGTTGACGCTTTCTATGCCACTTTTGTCAATCTTGTTGAAAAGTGCTACGCAAATTGCTTTTATTTCATGTTTACACTTGTGACTTCAAAATTTCAAGACTTTCAGTAATTGGGAGCTAAAAATTATCTGTCCTTTAAATTAAAGTTTAAATAGTGAAAATTTTACATATAAAGAATACATACAAAAAAGCAAGGAAATAAATCCTCTTCCCAAAGTAGCATTGATGGTGTTGATTTCATTCTGGAGCTTAGAGATATCTTTGTTCAACGTCTGAAGGATCTGCACAATGTATTTTTCAAATCAACAAAAATCTGCATGTAAATGTGCCGAAACATTGAGCAAATTTCTGTAAAAGCATGAATTTTTGCAATTTCTCTCACTTCATGATTACTCATAAAACATTTTAAGATTTTTTACCTTTTTTTCTTCAGCCAATGCCTTTAGTTGTTTGTCCTCTTGAACATAAAGTTTATTTTTGTCTTTACGATAAACCATCATTCCTTCAATATTTGGAACTTTTTTCAAGGTGTTATTATCTGGTACAACAATCATCTGTTTAAAAAAAGATTAAATACAAGTAGCTATGTAAAAATTAACATCAGATTTAGATGGTCCAATGAAAACAACATTGATGAGCATTTCAACAAGCAAATCATAGCTACTATTGTGTTTACCCAATTGAAAGGTTCAATAGAGCTGACAACGTATTATTTTACTTCTATATCACACTACAAATCACTTACTCCTTCATAAAACAATAGTTCATCTTTTGTACAACGACCCTGTGAATGTAAAGATACTTTAGTAGTTCTGAAAGATATTAGGTAAATTGGAAAACCAATATATTAAATTCTTCCACAATTTCTGTGTAGTCATTTCTCTTTGATAACATCAAAAACTAATCAATTAATGAAAACTACTACACAAACAACATACTTTCACAGGTACTTCATTACTACCCAGTAACTTGTACCAAACAGCAGTTCCATTTTTAATAACTTTGTAATCCATACAATTCCTCCATTTTCTTGTAGGAATACGAGAGCGCACCCAAAACCAAGTGAAAACATTTTTCTTAATTGTTCCGCCATTCTTTGCCTCACATTCTTTAAAACAATAATTTTTCTTACCATTCTTAGGACTATAACACCCACAGCACTATATAAAAGCAAAAATTTATTTTAAATAATAAGTTATAACCTGTACGTTGTTTATTTTACGTTTACTGAATGTAACTGATGAAGCTGTGCATTCCAAGATAAAATTACTTAATAAGGAAAATAGGATGATAAACATTGCCTATGAACAGATAATTTTTGTTTAAAAGATGACAAAAGATAAAGATTATTGCATAGCATTTGTTCTAATTTATAGATTAGTGGACCTTGTTCAAACGAGAGCCGGATTTATTAAAAGTATTATACGCTGTTTTTCGTCTCCATTAATTTACGCACTACACTTTATGATTCAGTTACACAACTTAAACTTGCTCATCAAAATGAAATTGTGCACAAAGTAAAATAAAAACCTTCCTGTTATCACATCCAACCAATGCCGTCGCTCCAAACTCCATACCAGAAATTGCATTTGTCGTGCTGTAGCTAATTTTAAATAATATACATGAAAGTAATTTGTTGTTCGCAGTTTTTTAATAAATATAGCTGAATTTTTGAAAAATGTTAAAGTTAACGTTAAATTTCATTGACATGCAGTTCCTAAGTTAGTATGTTTAGCCTTTACTAAAACTAGCTATTTATTTTGTTGAAAATTGTTCCTGTATTTCAATTTTCATCTCATCTCATCTGGCAAAGACACCTTCGAAAATGCCGCACCAATTTACAACCAAGCTCTTAAACAAAGCAACTTCACCACCCAACTCACCTTTAATCCATCAAACATCAATGTAAACACCACGTACAACAGAACGTAACGTCACTTGGTTTAACCCACCATACAGCAAAACGTAAAAACACACATCGCCCATGACTTCCTACAACTTATCGACAAACATTTCCCACCAAATACTATACTCTCCAAGATATTCAACCGACACACAATACGCGTAAGCTACAGCTACATGAAAACATTTCATAACCAGACACAACAAGACTATTTTAAAAGACTTAGCAGACACAACCCAGAACAAGAACAACCCACCAAAGAAATGTAACTGCAGACAGAAACACCTATGCCCGACAAATGGCAATTGCCTGAAACCCAACGTGATTTACAAAGCCGACGTGACAACGACTGACAACAACGAACAAAACTTATATAGGTGTTACTGCATGCGCTTTTAAGACACGATATCGAAACCACATTAAATCAATTACGAACATTAAATACCGCAACGAGACAGAACTTTCTAAATACACGTGGACACTGAAAGAAAACAAACGTAACTACAACATTAAATGGGACTACATCAAACAACTTCCACCTCCGAACAAAAACCATAGAACCTGCCGTCTTTGCCTTGAAGAAAGGCTACTAATCCTGAAAGGACGTAAAAAGAACATTTTAAATAAACGTTCCGATATGTTTAGTGCATGCCGTCATGTAACTTAACACCTTTAGTCGATGTATATAGTCAGCAAATAAAATATTATCTGTCAGTTGCCTGAAGATCGCCCTACGGCGTGAAACTCCGAGTAGCGACAGCAAACAATTGTCCATTTTATTTTAGTTCATTTTATCTTATGCTCTTCTAATATATAGAATATTGCGCTCTTTTATCCAGGAATATTATCCATAATAATATATATATATATATATATATATTACGGATAATAATCCTGGATAAAAGAGCGCTCAATATTCTATATATTAGAAGAGCGTAAGATAAAAAGACGTTCACCGTGTTCGCCGTGTGTTCGGTGTTAGACGTTCACCGTGTTCGTGATATGCAAAGCTCACCTTTATAGGTTTGAACACTCTGGTGACTCTATTATATAATCCATGCAACGTGTAACCGTACGTCCAGAGTCTTAAGTGCAGGAGTCACCATTTTGCTATGGTGATAGCCGGGAGGGCACATTGTAATACGCTGTGTAAATATATATTTATAGTATGGATAATGATTTTTATTTCAAATTACACTGATGTTGTTACCTGAATGCTCCAGAAAAGTCAATTTGAAGGGGATATTTGTGGTGAAAAGCAAATCCCCAAGGACATGGTCTGCTTAAACAGTCGTTCATTTTTGCCTACAAACACGAAGAGGACAGAAATCACACCATATTCTAAAAGTTCATATCGTTGATATGAACCAACCATTTAAATCATTCTCTTCATACCCATCCAAACTGTGCTCTTTCATTGTGTGCCAATCCAAACTTTGAGCAACGAAAATTTGTTGTCACAATGCTTTCAGTCATCAGATCTTTTACAAATTTAACGTCACCAATACCAGGTGATGTTTTTGTACAGCCTCCTTTGTTGTAAATCATCAGATTTTTTAATTTTCGTGGATTTTGAAATCTGTAAAACCTAAAATAAATGACATCGACTAAAATTTGCTTTTCTATGAAAAATTAATGCTCCCAAAAGAGATTATTTTTATACCAATGAGCTTTAGTTGTCTTAAAATCATCTTTAATTGCCATTTGTACTCTAAAATCAACCATCGGTGCCTCTCCTAATGAACTTATCCAATGAGGTTCACCAAATGGTTCCACGGTTTTGCTGTTGGATGGTACTGTCCATGTAACGGATGTATTTTTTCGACCAATCAACATGAACCCACCACCATCAGTTGTCATGTCACAATAAACCTTTAATGAAAATAATCTGGAATTTTAAAAATTCATTTACGTCTTACAACCGACAATAGATTTGAAAATGTATTTATAAACGAATGAAAGGAAAGTTCTTGATTTTTCTGGAAGATTACAATCCATAAAGATACTATAGTTTTGCTACATGATCTGTGAACATCACATTGATCTTATATATTTACCTTTTTCGGTTTCTTTTCTCCAAGTGTTATCCAATAAAATCCATCTTTAGCTTTTGGATCTTTATCCAATATGGTTGAGCAGTCGTATACAGGGTCAAAAAATTCTCCTGGAGAACTAGAACCTGATAAATGGTTTTACGTAATTTATATTTATTATTTTGTTGAACTAAATGTACAAATCCAAAGTTTGTATCATACACACCATCTATTGTTCTCCATCCAAAAATACCGTTAACTTTAGAACACATCAAGAGTTTAGGTTTGTTTTGTCGATCGCGAACCAACGTCATCTTTCCACTGCTTTTTTTTGAACATGGTCCTGGGTCGTTTCCTTTAACGACCTTGATTTTCTATAAAGAATTTCAACAATTTTTTTCATTTGCTCAGCTGGTATAGTTTTACTTTGTAACTTAATAAAAGCAATATGTCATTTTACCATTCACATTTCAATAGACATTAGCTACATTTACATTAGGAAAAAATCAAATTGATGTAACATCAACGTACAAAACGTTAAAACAGTTTTTGTTACCGTAGACTGAGATTTTCCTGAGATTCCAAGGAGAATTGCGAGAAGAAAATACGGGCTCTTCATTTTTTTCTTCTTTATGAAATGCCGTTAAAACGTTTTTGTGAGTTCTGGGATTGCATCTTCCTTTTTTGTTGCCTGTCAAGCTGAGACGGATGTCGCTATAACAAAAAGATGATGACATACATGTCGACAAATATTGACAATTGTATACTGAAAACATATTATTGTTATTGAACAGGTAACATAAATATATACAATTGTTTAAAATGGAGAAAAAGCAACCAAGGCACTAAAACTTAAATTAAACTTTATACAAACATATACAAGTTATTTATAATTGAGTATAATTATTTGTACTGTGAATTTGTGCACGTATGAAAGTTTCCACGATATTTAGTTTATCTTTGTGATATAGGGTATTGTAAACTTTCACGAATTTTTATTGATATCGTTTTGATGAAGAAATTATAGTCAATCTTCCAAAAGAAAACTTTTTAGCATGCAATTAATCAAAGACACCAGTTCTTTAAAAACTGAGCTTATTTTCATTTACATGTACTTAGTAATTGAATGTTTAACGTATAAAACCAATATTCATCAATGGCATCTGCATTTCGCTCGTCAATTAAGTTATGAGAACTAAAAGTTTACGCAGATTTGTAATATAATGATATTTCACATAGAAAAACGTAAAAGATGTCCGGTTTAAGACATTTGTTTGTTTAATATGCGCATATTCTAATACATATTAAGATATTATGTTTAAATTTTTGGCATGCTTAATATAACGTTTTGTACACAGACATATTCAAACAAAGACAAATTAACATAATCAATAAAATATACATTGTACTTCATTTTTACAAAATTTATCGTAAAATTTGAAGATGATTTCAAAAAATTTCAAATTCATACTTCTGTTTTCCTTTCTGTGAAGTTTTACAAGTAAACCACGTTTTGATTGAAATATTCAGTCCCTAAAATAATGTTCTTTACTATAAGCAAAACTGAGCATATCATTTTACCACGCTGTCACTTTATCCCAGGTACAAAATTACAGACACTTTGTTATATGATACTAGGTCAGTGGATTACGTTAGTCAAATTATTTCCAGTTTCACCGTGAAATTTACATCTTTTCTGCGCATTTTCTAATATAATTTAACAGAGTTCAGCTGATTAGTATAAAAGTGTTCCCAGTTTTATCTGTTAAATAAGCAGATAAATGCCAGATAAAGCGTCGAGATGTCTTAATGTACATTTGATTGTCGAACATGGAAAGAGTGACAATAAGAATTCGAGAGTGAGTGTAATACAAGCATTTTGGAAACCTGTGCGTTTCGACTCGTATTTCACCACATTGATTTGGTTGAAGTTATTGCAACGATTCTACAACTGATCGTTGGCAATCGTAAATCTTCGACTCTTCGGTAAGAAAAGAATATCAGTTTCATCACGATCAAACGCAGCTCAGTTATGGTTTAAAAAATGTGAAATTTGACTCAGCATTCACCGTGCATATGCACTCAGTCTAAAATAGTGTGTCTGACAAAAAATAAATCTGCAAAAGTTATTTTCCCCGTCTTTCCTATCTGTCACTCACATTTCCCTTAGATGACAAACTGCTTTTGTTTCACATGCAAATTAAAGTCATAATCATATGCAATGACATATTTTGATAAATGTACCAACATCGACGTTAAAATTGTGTGGAAATGTACAAAATCACGCACAAAGTTCACCAAGCAGTTCTTCGAATTCATTGATTTCCCATGCATTTATATGAATGCAGTCACAAACACAAAAATTTCACACAAAAACACAATAAATTGGACAAATTTTATATAGTTGCTATATCGATATAAGTACACATTTCGTTTTAAACAAACATATCTCTACATGTTTTGAGATGCAAATGTGACTATACATGCAAAGCTGCCCTAGCAAATATTTCGTGAATACAAAATTTTGCCTGTAGACAGCAAATAAACAGTATCGCTAATAATTATAAATTAAAGTAAAATCAAAAATAATCATTCGTGTTGTGAATCTATGTATACTGCATGAAATTTATAGATATGTAAATTTGCGCAACTTTTTCTTAATATCGTTTCGATCATGCGATTAAGGTATAAGCCAATCTACAAAAAGACAACTCTTTAGCATACAATTAATCAAGACAACCACTGCGTTCATTGTCTTTGCACGACCTCCACCATCATAAGCACTTTATTTACATGTACTTGACTACATGATTGAATGTTTATTGTATAAAACCAATATTTATCCGTAGCTTCAGCATTTCTCTCATCAAGGAATGAGAACTAAAAGTATACGAAATTCTTAGTCAGGATTTAGTTTTGTGATATTGTCATATTTTACAAGAAAAACGTAAAATAAGTGAGCTTAAAGACATATGTTTCAATTCATGTTTGTTCAATACATGTATTCTAATACAAATTAAGATAGTATGTTTAAATTTTTGCCATGCTTATAGTATAAACGTCTATTATACACAGACATTTTGAAAAACAGAGGAATTATCATAGTCAAGAAAATGTACATAACATATTTTTACAAAATTCATCCAGCAATCTAAACATCATACAAAGCATTCCAAATTTATATTTCTGTCTTTCTGTCAGTGAAGTTATACATAAAAACCACGTTTTGATTCAAATATTCAGTCCTTAAAATGAAGTTTTTACCATGAGCAAAACTGAGCATATCATTTTACCATTATGTCACTAAATCAATTTATCCCAGATACAATAGACAATATATCTCTTGGTCAATAAATTACATTTCAGTTTTACTGTCAAATTTACATCTTTTCAGTGCATTTTTTAGTTTATCTTTAACAGAGTTTAGCTGATTAACGTAAAAATATTTTCAGTTTTGTCTTTTAAGATGATTACAGCGTTGAGTTTGTCTTGTCTAAATGTTCATGCCGACTGTTGAAATGGAACGTGAAATGTCATGAGTGAGAATAAGGAGTCGAGAGTGAGGCAAAAAAATGCATTTTTAATATACATTACGAATATTTTGGAAACCACTTCGTTCCAACTAGTTTTTCCCTATTTAGATTCGGTGAACGATTCGCAACGATTCTATAGCAAAAAAAGTGAATTTTATCTCAGCTTTAATCGTGCACACTTACTCTCATTATCGTGTGTCGGACTCATTTTTCACCTCTCCCTATTTATTAGATGATAAACTCTTATTTGTTTCACATGCAAATAAGACATAATCCTGGATAATGTATACGTCACTCTGTTATATTTGTATTGACATCGACGTTAGAACTGGTGTGGCAATGTTCTGCAAAATCACTCACAATTCACAAGCTCACCAAGCTCTTCTTCGAATTTGTTGTTTTTCCTATATATTTAAGACCAATTTTATAGGGTTGCTATACCGATATAAATACACATTTTATTTTGCACAAGCATGTCTAATACAAGTTTTGAGACGCAAAGCTGACTATTTTAATGAACAGGACTAACATTGGATAATCAAAATTCAAAACATCGATTCTTTGTTTACTCTAGACCCCCGACACTAACATTTATTAAACGCCCCCATAACAGTAAAAATGAACATATTTTTAATTTCACAAAGGAAAGTGCATTAATACAAACAAACTTTAACATATTTTTGACTGGTTAACTAGTTTCAATATTTATGTTAATGTTAATCAAGGGCTCTCCTGTATGCATTACTCATGTATGCAATACATAATTCAAAATACTATAAAGTAAAATTAATAAACTACAAAGATGAGAACCTGAGTTGTGTTTTGGCATAATTTTTATTTCAAACAGTCGCACTAGGATCTTAAACACTATTAAAATCATTTGAATTAAGTCCAGTTTTTATAAAGATATATGTATGATGTGAACTCTGAGACATCGACTCCATCTATTTTAATTTTCATATATTTAATTTTTCCTTGATTAATTTTGTGATTAACCAGTACCAAAGAATATGCTATTTACGAATAAATTGCTTTCTTTCATAGAGAGGACTGCTCAAATCTTCAACAACGTCAGTTTTTTAAGCCAATTAAAGCATTAAAGGTAACTTGTTCAACTCTAATCCATTTACTTTTGGACTAATGTCACTTAAACTATGGAAGAACGATTTCATCACATGTTCTTCATTAATTTCCAATGTAGCATTACAAAATTAAATAAATATTCTTTCATCTTTTTTAAATTACATGCAAATAATGAGGAAATATGAGCACATCATTTTTGTTAAGGAAACTACAACTCTATTTACGAATAAATTGCTTTCTTTCATAGAGAGGACTGCTCAAATCTTCAACAACGTCAGTTTTTTAAGCCAATTAAAGCATTAAAGGTAACTTGTTCAACTCTAATCCATTTACTTTTGGACTAATGTCACTTAAACTATGGAAGAACGATTTCATCACATGTTCTTCATTAATTTCCAATGTAGCATTACAAAATTAAATAAATATTCTTTCATCTTTTTTAAATTACATGCAAATAATGAGGAAATATGAGCACATCATTTTTGTTAAGGAAACTACAACTAAATTCTCGGCAAGAAGGGCTATTTTTAAAATGGTTTTAATTAAGATAATTTTTTCTTCATCATGCAATCTATATTACACAACAATATATTCTGATTTTTTTGAGCAAGTCAAATGATGCTCGGTATCATTGTGTGATAGGAACGGTACTTCCGTTTCACAAACTCATCAATTTTCATAATCATATTTTCATATTTTTATAATCATAGCTACTCTTTAATAAGAACTTTTCCAGTAGTTATAAGGAGATTTTGAAGTCTTAGAGTGAGTAAAGGAAAAAATAAAAAAATTGTAAAAGAGTTCAGCGAGAAAATAAAAAAGAGACAAAACAAAATTTTGATGAAAGATAATTATGATAGAAATAATGAAGACAACATTTAACTACATCTACAAAATCTACTTTAACACTACATCGTGGCTACATTTCTGAATTGATAATTATGAAGATCATGTGAAGTTCACGTGAAACATTAAACATAATAATAAACTTCAACTTCATCAGGTGTAAAGGTGTATGAACCTGCAAGAAGAGCTTGGGTGTTACTACTGCCATAGCTGTAACCAGATGGAGCACGATAGGTGTGTCCAAAATTTGTGTAGGAATATTTGTTTTTGTTTGCGTTGTTTGCAATGCGTATGTCATGTCCTCCTCCAAACGTTGGTCCATAGCCAGGGGAAGTATAGATGGCCCTGTTGCTGTAACGATAAACTGGTGATCTAAATGGACTTAAATTGTCTTTGTTACGAAGTGAGAAAATGTAATTACTGGAACTTGTTCGATAACTTCCACTTGAACCTATAAATATAAACAAGCATAGAAAATTAAGCTCATTCGATATTTTCTCTCAAAGTTCATTAGCAAAATTTTACGAAATTGCCGCACAAGAACTGAATTCCTTATTGCTCTCACTTCAACTTCACATTTTCCATTAACCAATACAAAATTTGAGAGAAAGTCAAAATTAGTGCTGGGCACCGAAGCCGGATGGCGAGAGAAGAAGCTAAAGTTTTGGCGTATTTTTCCAGATAAAAAGTTAGAGTTTAGGTTAAAGGAAGAACACCAGTATTGTAACGTCTAACTAAATATATTTACAAAAAATAAAACAAAAATACGAGATTATTGTAAATATAAAATTAAAATTTCGACAGAAATATATCTATAATTCGCCAGGTATCAACATGACAGTAGATGAAAGAGATATATTAGTGTTCTAAGCAAGAGGTCTCATGGAAATTCTTTTTATTGGCCACCAACCTAGTGGTTATCATGTCAGTTGAAAACGCTCAATAGTCGCGCATGTCGGACAAACAGCTTCAAGCCTTAATTGTATTGACAACTCTACAATTGACTTGGTGTTTTTTATGATACAACAATCTGAGACAAGCCACTTGTTCTCACACGAAGTAAAGTCTGTAATAAAAATCTTTGTTCAACCAAAAGTGGCAAATTTTGTTGTACCATTTTACTCAGTTTCATATCATCAGTCATGTCTGGAGAGAATATTTATTGCTAAGAAACAGTATGCTCTAGCAGGAAAAATTGAGAAAATAACTTTAGCGAATTAAGTTTAATAGCAAATATTAACTACCATCATAATTTACAGTTGCGGTAATAGAATCGTCTCGAAAATATTTTATAAACACATTAGGTCACGTTTATCAACTGATCTACGGAATTCCTCAACGAAACTTTTTGAACCGATAAGACTCACATCACACGAACGTCGCGCTAGGTTGATGGAGGTAACGCTGATCAATGCCAGGCAATTTCTTCGTCAGGTTAATCAGGAGTAAGAAAGGAATATTATTTCATATTTATTAAGAAAATATTTATTTATTAAGAAAACCCGTAGTTGTGGGCTGCCTATGGTTCTTTCTGAAGTGGAGGTATTCACATTCACGTGATTGGTTACTTTAAAAACACTATGTTCGATTGGTCAATTTGAAACAGGAAGTTTAGAGTTTCAAAGAGTTTCGTTGAGGAGCGTAAATCAATTGATAAACGTGAGCTAATTTGTTGATCAAAATTTTTTGAAAGGCTTCTATTGCCGCGACTCACGGTGACTGTAAGATGTCACATTTTAAGTACTAAAAACGTAATCTCGTATCATGTCCACTCGTGTAGCGAAAAATTGAAATTAAAGAAAAAATTTTGTTTTCAATTTGACAAAAAAATTTTATTGTTTTGAAATTTTATGTATAAATTTTCGGTGCACAGCGCTAATAAACCACTAGTAACATCACATAAACACACCGAATGATTTTAAAACTTACCACCCCATTTATACGTTGAATATCCACCAAAGATGTATTTCCCAACTTTAACTAAAGTTATAGTTTTTCCTCGATTGTCACATCTTGAGTGGAAAATTCTGGAATCCCATCCATCAATGGAAGTTCTCCAACAACAAGTCAATTTACTGAATGAAAACCAACTCTTTAACTGTTTCAAAAACCTTGCTGGCTCTCGTATGAGTATCGTTGAAGCCGACATATCACCTAAATGTATTTTTAACTCAGGAATTTTTTATTGAAATTTTGTTTCCGTAAGGTAAGTTGGACCAGTGTCAAGTAATTGAAAATATTAACACGCTGAGCTCTTTTACATCAAGTAAAAAATAATATACTTGTATACATACGACATCAGGTAGTTTTCTGTTGATTTAATCACTTTTTCTTTAATTAACAAACAGAAAACTTGAGATAAAAAATACGTACGAGAAAGCAACGAAGAAAATCTTCTTCTGCCCAAAGTAATATTGATAGCTTTCACTTCATTCTCAACCTTAGATATATCTTTGTTCAGTGTTTCTAGAATCTACAAATATTGGTTTTGAAAATGTTGATGCATGATAAAAAATATTTATCAAAGTGGTGACGTACAAGTACTCGTTGGGGTTAGTTGAATTTTTGAATATCGTCGCTCTGATTCATACAACTGGTCAAGATTTTATACCTTTTTTTCTTCAGCCAATGCCTTTAGTTGTTTGTCCTCTTGAACATAAAGTTTATTTTTGTCTTTACGATAAACCATCATTCCTTCAATATTCGGAACTTTTTTCATGGTGATATTATCTGGTACAACAATCATCTGTTGAAGTGAAAAGTTAATGTATGTAGCTAAGTAAAAATCAACATCATATTTACATGGTCCTAAGAAAACTACATTGATGAGCATTTCAACAAGTAAACAATATAGCTACTGTTGAGTCCACTCACTTGAAAAGTTCTAAAAAACTGACAAAGTATTATTATACTTCTGTGTCACAAAACAAATCACTTACTCCTTCATAAAACAGTGGTTTATCTTTTGTACAACGACCCTGTAAATGTATAAGGAAAGTTTGATATAGTTCTGAAAGATATTAGCTAATTGAAAAAACAATATTCCACAATTTCTATGTTGCCTTCTCTCTTCAATAACATCAAAAATTCATCAATTAATGACACCTATTACACAATTAAACAACATACTTTCACAGGTACTTCATTACTACCCAGTAACTTGTACCAAACAGCAGTTCCATTTTCGATAACTTTGTAATCCATGCAATTGCTCCATTTTCTTGTAGGAATACGAGAACGCACCCAAAACCAAGTAAAAACATTTTTCTTAATTGTTCCGCCATTCTTTGCCTCACATTCTTGAAAACAATAATTGCTCTTTACATTCTTAGGACCATAACACCCACAGCACTATATAAAACAAAATTTTCCAATAATAAGTGCTATCCTTTGCGTTCTTCATTTTGATTTTGTAATGTAGCTGATGAAGCTGCAAGAACACGTACAAAAAGCATTTTAAGTTGTTTTCAGAATACTTAATAAAGAAAACAGGAAAGTAAACATTACCTATGGACATATAAATTAAGTCTTTTACTGAGGAATGGAATGAGCATACTCAACAAAGTTAAAGTAAAGAAAAGCTAAAGGTGCTTACAAAATCAAGATGTCTTTTGATTCTGAAAAATACCTCAACGAAATATTAATGTATCTAATTGTTCTTGTAATTGTTCTCAAACTATTGTGCACTTTGTAATAGCCAGTTGATGATTCGTAATAAATTTCTTTAATATAATTGTTTTAAAAAGATGAAAACGGACAAAGATTATCGCATTCGTATTAGAATTTGTTTTATATATGGGTTGGTGAGCAATGGACATGGTTTAAACGTAACTCGGATTTGACGCTTAGCCATGTAGGTACAATGGTGCAGTGTATAGCTATAATTTTCAAAGTATTATAGGCTGTCTTTTGTTTTAATTAATACTTATACCACACTTTATTATAAACAGACACAGCTTCAACTTTGTTAACGAAATAAATAATTCATAAAGTAAAATAGAAACCTTTCCATTGTCACAGCCAACCAATGCCGTCGCTCCGAAGTTCACACCAGATATTGGATTTATCGTACTGTAGCTGAATTTTAAATAATGTATATGAAAGTTAATTTTTTATTCAAACTTTTTTAATAAATGCAGCTAAATTTTTAGCAATGTTAAAGTCAGATTTTGTTGACTGTTTTTAAGTGAGTGTACTTAGACTTTGCTATAACTAGCTCTTTATTTCATTGAAATTGGCTTCTATATTCTAGCTACTTTTACTTTTATTACATCTTGCGATGAGAATTGCCATAAGCAAAAGTTGTTACCTGAATGCTCCAGAATAGTCTGTTTGAATTTTATATTTGTGATGAAAAGCAAACCCCGAGGGACAGGGTCTGCTTAAACAATCGTTCATTTTTACCTACAATCACAAAAAGGAAAGAAATAACCAGTGGCGAATTAATTATTAATTACTAGGCCTGTAGGCAAGGACAAAGTTGTTGTACTTTAATTGGACATCTATTTCTTCCACTACGTTCCGTATACTATTTGCGTTCTTTACGCTCCTTTACCTTGCATTTCCCAGCTTGTTTTTGTAACTCATAGTATCAACAATAAGGAATAAATTTAAAGTTCAAACTGGCAAAACCCACTACTTCATGAGTTTTGATTACCTTGCATTTGAACAGTAGATCGTACGATATTTAACACCATAAATGGACTAAACTAAGAACATTTAACTAGTCCATAATGGCAAAAACTGAAAACTAATCATGTCTACTAGATACAACTGGCCTCTCAAAAGCTCGGGTCTGTCTTCTGCCTACTTAGCCTACTGACTAATCCGTCACTGGAAATAACACAATTTTCTCAAAATTCATATTATTAATATAAACCCAACAATTTCATACCCATCCAAATTGTGTTCTTTTATTGTGTGCAACTCCAAATTTTGAGCAACGAAAACTTGTTGTCACAACGTTATCAGTCATCAGATCTTTTACAAACTTAACGTCACCAATCCCAGGTGATGATTTTTTACAGCCTCCTTTGTTGTAGATCATCAGATTTTTTAATTTTCGTTGATTTCGAAATCTGTAAAACCTGAAATAAAAGACATCGACTAAAATATGCTTTGCTATGAAAAATTAATACTCCCAAAAGAGATCATTTTTATACCAATGAGCTTTTGTTGCCTTAAAATCATCTTTAGTGGCTATTTGAACTCTAAAATCAACCATCGGTGCCTCTCCTAATGAACTTATCCAATGAGGTTCGCCAGATGGTTCCACTGGGTTGTTGTTTGATGGTACTGTCCATGAAACTGATGTATTTTTTCGACCAATCAACATGAACCCACCACCATCAGTTGTCATGTCACAATAAACCTTTAATGAAAATAATCTCACTGGAATTTTAAAAATTCATCAACGTCTACAATCAACAATACATTTGGAAAAGTAATAAAAAACAATTGAAAAACGAGTTCTTGATTTTTCTGGAAGATTACAATTCATAAAGATACTATATGTTGCTACATGATCAGTGAACATCGCATTGATCTTATATATTTACCTTTTTCGGTTTCTTTTCTCCAAGTGTTATCCAATAAAATCCATCTTTAGCTTTTGGATCTTTATCCAATATGGTTGAGCAGTCGTATACAGGGTTGAAAAACTCTCCTGGAGAACTAGAACCTGAGAAATGGTTTTACGTAATTTATGTATTATTTTTTTGAACTAAATGTACAAATCCAAAGTTTGTATCATACACACCATCTATGGTTCTCCATCCAAAAATACCGTTAACTTTAGAACATATCAAGAATTTAGGTTTGTTCTGTCGATCGCGAACCAACGTCATCTCTCCATTGCTTTTTTTTGAACATGGTCCTGGGTCGTTTCCTTTAATTACCTTGATTTTCTATAAAGAAATTCAACAATTTCTTCATTTGCTCAGCTGGTATAGTTTTACTTTGTAGCTTAATAAAAGCAATATGTCATTTTGCCATTCACATTTCAATAGACATTAGCTACATTTCCATTAGGAAGAAATCAAAGTGATGTAACATCCACGTTCAAAACGTTACTATAGACTTTGTTACCGTAGACTGAGATTTTCCTGAGATTCCAAGGAGAATTGCGAGAAGAAAATACGGGCTCTTCATTTTTTTTCTTCCTTATGAAATGCCGTTAAAACGTTTTTGTGAGCTCTGGGATTGCATTTTCCTTTTTTGTTACCTTTCAAGCTGAAACGGAAATCGCCATAACAAAAATGTGATGACATTCATGTCGACAAGTATTGGTTTTGTATACTGAAACATATTATTGTTATTGAGCAGGTAACGTAACTATAAACGATTGTTTAAAATGCAGATAAAGCAGCCAAAGCACAAAAATTTAAATTAAACTGTATACAAACTTGTATATGGTAAACTTGCACGAATTTTTATTGATATCGTTTTGATCAAGAGATCAAGGCATTATAGTCAATCTGCCAGAAGAAAACTTTTTAGCATGCAATTAATCAAAGGTAACACTTGTTTAAAACTGAGCTTATTTTCATTTACATGTACTTAATAATTGAATGTTTAACGTATAAAACCAATCAATTAAGTTATGAGAACTAAAAGTTTGCGCAAATTAGTTTTGTAATATAATGATACTTCACATAGAAAAAGGTAAAAGATATCAGGTTAAAGACATTTGTTTATTTAATATGCGCATACTCCAATACAAATTAAGATATTATGTTTAAATTTTTGGCATGTTTAATATAACGTTTTGTACACGGACATATTCAAACAAAGAGAAATTAATATAATCAATAAAATATACATTGTACTTCATTTTTACAAAATTTATCGTAAAATTTGAAGATGATTTCAAAAAATTTCAAATTCATACTTCTATTTTCCTTTCTGTGAAGTTTTACAAGAAAATCATGCTTTGATTCAAATATTCAGTCCCAAAAATAATGTTCTTTACCATAAGCAAAACTGAGCATATCATTTTACCAGGCTGTCACAAAGTCAATTTATCCCAGATACAAAATTGCAGACACTTTATATGATACTAGGTCATTGGATTACGTTAGTCAAATTATTTCCAGTTTCACCGTCAAATTTACATGTTTTCTGTGCATTTTCTAATATAATTTAACAGAGTTCAGTTGATTAGTATAAAAGTGTTCCCAGTTTTATCTGTTAATTAAGCAGATAAATGCCAGATATAGCGCCGAGATGTCTTAATGTACATTTGATTGTCAAACATGGAAAGAGTGAGAATAAGAATTCGAGAGTGAGTGTAATACAAATATTTTGGAAACCTGTGCGTTTCGACTCATTTTTCAACACATTGTATTGGTTGCAGTTATTGCAACGATTCTACAACTAATCGTTGGCAATCGTAAATCTTCGACTCTTCCGTAAGAAAAGAATATCAGTTTCATCACGATCAAACGTAGCTCAGTTATGGTTAAAAAAATGCGAATTTTGACTCAACATTCACCTTGCATATGCACTCAGTCTAAAATAGTGTGTCTGACAAAAAAATAAATCTGCAAAAGTTATTTTCCCCGTCTTTCCTATCTGTCACTCACATTTCCCTTAAATGATAAACTGCTTTTGTTTCACATGCAAATTAAAGTCATAATCATATGCAATGACATATTTTGATAAATGTACCAACATCGACCTTAAAATTGGTGTGGAAATGTACAAAATCACTCACAAAGTTCACCAAGCACTTCTTCGAATTCATTGATTTCCCATGCATTTATATGAATGCAGTCACAAACACAAAAATTTCACACAAAACACAATAAATTGGACAAATTCTATAAAGTTGCTATATCGATATAAGTACACATTTCGTTTTGAATAAACATATCTCTACATGTTTTGAGATGCAAATCTGACTATATATGCATAGCTGCTCTAGCGAATATTTCGTGAATACAAAATTTTCCCAAAAAACAGCAAATGAACAGTATCGCTAATAATTATAAATTAAAGCAAAATCAAAAATAATCATTTGTGTTGTGAATCTATGTATATTGCATGACATTTATAGATATTTAAAGTTGCACAACTTTTTGTTGATATCGTTTCGATCATGCGATAAGGTATAAGCCAATCTTCAAAAAGATAACTCTTTAGCATACAATTAATCAAGACAACGACTGTGTTCATTGTCTTTGCACGACCTCCACCACCATAAGTACTTTATTTACATGTACTTGACTACATGATTGAATGTTTATTGTATAAAACCAATATTTATCCGTGGTTTCAGCATTTCTCTCATCAAGAAATGAGAACTAAAAGTATACGAAATTTTTAATCAGGATTTAGTTTTGTGATATTGTCATATTTTACAAGAAAAACGTAGAATAAGTCAGCTTAAAGACATATGTTTCAATTTATGTTTGTTCAATACATGTATTCTAATACAAATTAATTAAGATAGTATGTTTAAATTTTTGTCATGCTTATAATATAAACGCCTATTATACACAGACATTTTCAAAAACAGAGAAATTATCATAGTTAAGAAATGTACATAATAACATATTTTTACAAAATTCATCCAGCAATCCAAAGATCATACAAAGCATTAAAAATTTATATTTCTGTCTTTCTGTCGGTGAAGTTATACATAAAAACCACGTTTGGATTCAAATATTCAGTCCTTAAAATGAAGTATTTTACCATGAGCAAAACTGAGCATATTATTTTACCAGAATGTCACTAAATCAATTTATCCCAGATACAAAAGACAATTTATCCCTTGGTCAATAAATTACATTTCAGTTTTACTGTCAAATTTACATCTTTTCATAATTTCATTGTATTTTTTAGTTTATCTTCAACAGAGTTTAGCTGATTAACGTAAAAATATTCTCAGTTTTGTCTTTTAAGGTGATTATAGCGTCGAGTTTGTCTTGTCTAAATGTTCAATGCCGATTGTCGAAATCGAGCGTGAAATGTCATGAGTGAGAATACTGAGTCGAGAGTGAGGCAAAAAAATGCAATTTTAATATACATTACGAATATTTTGGAAACCTGTTCGTTCCAACTATTTTTTCACTATTTACATTCGGTGAACGATTCGCAACGATTCTATAGCCAAAAAAGTGAATTTTATCTCAGCCTTTATCGTGCACACTTACTCTCATTATCGTGTGTCGGACTCATTTTTCACATCTCCTATCTGTCAGATGATACTCTTATTTGTTTCACATGCAAATAAGCCATAATTCTGGATAATGTTACGTCACTCTTTTATATTTGTACCGACATCGACGTTAGAACTGGTGTGGAAATGTTCTGCAAAATCCCTCACAATCTACAAGCTCACCAAGCTCTTCTTCGAATTTGTTGTTTTTCCTATATATCCAAGGAAAAACAACCGATGTAAGTACACATTTTGCACAAACATGTCTAATACAAGTTTTGAGACGCAAAGCTGACTGTTTGCATGAACTGGACTAACATTTATAATCAAAATTCAAAACACCGATTCTTTGTTTACTCTAGACCCACAACACTAACATTTATCAAACGCCTCCATAACAGTAAAAATGAACATATTTTTAATTTCTCAAAGGAAAGTGCAGTAATAACAAACAAAATTTAGCATATTTTTGACTGGTTAACTAATTTAAGTATTTATGTTAATGTTAATCAAAGGCTCTCGTGTATGTATTACTCGTGTATGCAATACATAATTCAAAATACTATAAACTAAAATTAGTAAATTACAAAGATGAGAACCTGAGTTGTGTTGTGGCATAATTTTTATTTTAGACAATTGCACTAGGATCTTAAACACTATTAAAATCGTTTGAATTTAGTTCAGTTTTTATGAAGATATACGTAAGATGTGAACTCTGTGACATCGACTACATCTATTTTAATTTTTATATATTTAACTTTCCCTTGATTAATTTTGCGATTAATAAGTACCAAAGAATATGCTACTCACCACTAAATTGCTTTCTTTCATAGAGATGACTGCTCAAATCTTCAACAATGTCAGTTTTTAAGCCGATTAAAGCATTAAGGGTAACTTCGACAATATTTTAAGTTCAAATATAGTCTAATAAGTTCAATTCTAATTCGCTTACTTTTGGACTAAGGTCACTTAAACTATGGAAGAACGATTTCATCACATGTTTTCCATCAATTTCCAATGTGCATTATAAAATTAAATAAATATTCTGTCATCTTTTTTAAATTACATGCAAATAATTAAGAAACTATGAGTACATCACTTTACGTTAAGGAAACTAAAACTAAATTCTCGACAAGAAAGGCTATTTTTAAAATGGTTTTAATTAAGATAATTTTCTCTTCATCATGCAATCTATATTACACAACAATATAGTCAGATTTTTTGAACAAGTCAAATGATGCACAATATTATTGTGTGATATTAACGGCTCTTCCATTTCACAATCTCATCAATTTTCTCATTTTTATAATCCTGGTTAGATTTTAATACGAACTTTTCTAGTAGTTATGAGGAGATTTTGAAGTTTTAGAGTGAGTAAAGAAAAAAAGAAAAAAATTGTAAAAGAGTTCAGCGAGAAAATAAAAAAGAGACAAAACAAAATTTTGATGAAAGATAATTATGATAGAAATAATAAAGACAACATTTAATTACATCTACAAAATCTACTTTAACACTACATCATAGCTACATTTCTGAATTGATAATTATGAAGATCACGTGAAGTTCATGTGAAATGTTAAACATAATAATAAACTTCAACTTCATCAGGTGTAAAGTGGTATGAACCTGCAAGAAGAGCTCTGATCTTACTACTCGTATAGCTGTAACCAGATGGAGGACGATAGGTGTGTCCAAGATTAGAGTAGGAATTTCTTTTTTTGTTTGCGTTGTTTGAGATGTAGAAGTCATGTCCACCTCCAAACGTTGGTCCATAGCCAGGGTTAGTATAGATGCCATATTGGCTGTAACGATAAACCGGGGATCTAAATGGACTTAAATTGTCTTTGTTACGAAGTGAGAAAATGAAATTACTGGAACTTGTTCGATAACTTCCACTTGAACCTATAAATATAAACAAGCATAGAAAATTAAGCTCATTCGATGTTTTCTGTCAAAGCTCATTAGCAAAATTTTACGAAATTGCAGCACAATAACTGAATTCGTTATTGCTCTCACTTCAACTTCGCATTTTCCATTAA